AAATGGGGTTGTAAAAGATGTGAATGCTCAGGTGCTAGAAAAAGGTGTAGGATTAAAAGATAAAGAATCTGACACAAAGTGGGAGTTGTCGCAGTTGTTTTTTGCTGATGACACACTGCTTTTGGGAGATTCTAAAGAGAAGTTGCAAAAGTTAATTGATTAATTTGGGAAGATATGTACAAGTATGAAATTAACCCTTTTGAATTTTTTTCTGTAATATTATGGCTTTGAAGCCAGGGTCAGTCCCATAATACTACACCAAAATTCTAGCGGCTTCCAATCTCCTGGGAGAAAGCTGGTAGGCCTACATACAAGAAAATGGGTCTGTGTGGTTAGTGTGTGCAGTATAAAATCCTGCAGCATGCAGTGCATAATAAAAAAACTGCAACCGTGTTTTTGGTGTAACACAGCAATTTTACGTTGTATTTTCGTGTTTTTTATGGTTGAATTTGCGGTTTCTTGGTCTCATTTGATAGAATGGAAAATTTATTACAGAAATAGAGATGATTTTGAATGGTTTACAGATTAAAGTAGCTTGAAATTGAGCTCAAAGTAGCAGAAATGTTTGATTTTTGCCGATATTCAAGAGTAAACAAAACACGTTACGCGTCCAATACACACCAACTGGCCAGTCTAATATGCACCCACAAATACACTGACATTATTTATACATTTATTATCATTATGCAGTAGTCTGAATAACAGTAAATATCTATTTTTTGTGTGAATAAAAATTCAAAATGAAAAGCAAGCGTAATAGAGGGGTCTGGAGATGTGACAAATGAACAAAGAAAAATGTTATTTTAGTGCCAGGAATGTCTTCAGTATTTATTCTGGACCCTATTTTGAAATTGGCCTTGAATTTTGTGTGAAATTGGCCAAATCAGTAATTTCTGATCACTTTATTGGGTAATTGAAACAAGTAAATGAGCAGTTTCTTGTACTCAACTGATAGAATAAAAAGAGTTCTAGCTAAACAGCTATGAGTTTGGTCAACTGAAATAATGGAATTGGCCCAAAATAGGGCTCAGAGTGGGCAAAATCACCGATGCATAAATATCACCGAGACCGCTAACTTCACGAGAGCATAATTCCATAAGTTTTCCATCAAATTTTGTGCTTTTGTTTTCATTACCTTTGGAAAAAGATTCTCTATCATTTCATAAGAAAAAATAATTTTTTTTTTTTTAGATGTTAGATTGAAGGGAGTATGGAAAATGTGAATATATTCAGATATTTAGGAGTGGACTTGTCAGCCGATAGGTCAATAAAAGACGAGATGAGCCATAGAATTGATGAGGAGAAAAAAGGTGAGAGGTGCATTGAGGAGTCTGTGGAGACAAAGAATGTTATCCATGTATGAGATTATAGTGGTACTAACACTCTTATATGGGCATGAAGAATGGGTGGTGAATGTTGCAACAAGGATGCAATGGAGATGTCATGTCTGAGGGCAATGTGTTGTGTGAATATTATGCAGAGAATTTGCAGGTCAGGCTAGGAAAGGTTGGAGGGAGGAATACAGGAGGTTTTATGTGTTGAGGGACATGGACTTTCAGCAAGCATGCATGAGTGTGTTAGATAGGAGCAAATGGAGACAAATGGTTTTAAGGACTTGACGTGCTGTTGGAGCGTGAGCAGAGTAATATTTATGAAGGGATTCAGGGAAACCGGCAGGCAGGACTTGAGTTCTGGAGATGGGAAGTACATACAGTGTCTGCACTCCAAAGGAGGGGGTGTTTATGTTGCAGTTTTATAACTGTAGTGTAAGTGTACCTCTGGCAAGACAGATGGAGTGAATGATGGTGAAAATTTTCTTTTTTTTTTCGGGCCACCCTACCTTGGTGGGAAACAGCCGATGTGTTAATAATAATAATAAAAAAACATTACAGTTTGGTAATTAGAAGGTGCGGGGTCACTTAAAGTATTATCCATATGTCTGAGGAGGGGTTGTTGAGGTGGTTTGAACATTGATAGAGGATGAAATAAAATAGAATGACTTGGAGGGGGCACAAATTTGTAGTGGATGGAAGTTGGGGTAGGGGTCATCCTAGGAAAGGTTGGAGAGAGGGGATAAAGGAGGTTTTGCATGTGAGGAGCTTGGATATCCAGTAGGTGTGTGTGAGCATGTTAGATAGGAGTGAGTGGAGGCAAGTGGTTTTTATGACTTGACATTCTCTTGGAGTGTTAACAAGCTAACATTTATGAATGGATTCAGGGAAACCATTTAGTCAGACTTGAGTCCTGGAGGTGGGAAGTACAGTGCCTGCACTCTGAAGAAGGATTAGGGATACTTGCAGTTTGGAGGGGCATCTGAGCTGTAATGTTGACACACCTCTGGCAAAACAGTGATGGCGTGAGTGATGATGAAAATTTTTCTTCTTTTTTTTTTTTTTTGGGGGGGGGGGGTCACCTTGCATCGGTGGGAGATGGCTGATGCGTTATAAAGAACAGAAAATGAAAACCACTTTTAAATATGTTGAAATAAACTTAAAAATAGTGTTACTGTCAGTAGGTCAACAATGTTCTTTAACATCTTACCTATTTGTGACATAATTTATTATTTGCTAATTAAGATTTTAGGCCACTTATTACAATGTCAGTATAAATCCCCCACTGTGCACAAAAGCCCAAATCCCTACAGTTGCTTCTGGCTCTCTTTTTCTTAATCACGTCTGGTCTCATTCTCATGCCATTTCAGTGCACGCTGATGTTTCTAAATCCTGACAGTGTTGGGTTTGCAGCAGTGTTCCTGGACAGTGTAGTGTGAGGTCATTTATTAGACTCATCTGGCATTTTTACAGCTGAATTGTATACCATTCTCACTGCAATTATCCATATTTCATCTATGCTTACTTCAACATTCATAATTGTCTCAGACTCTCTAGTGCTTTTATAAACTGTTAAAAATTTTGATTCGCCTCATCCCTAGTTCTTTGTATACAACTTTGGCTGCACCATATTACTTGCAAAAACAAAAAGATATTGTTTTCTGTAGGGTCCCTGGTCATGTTGACGTTCAGGGCAATGAGTAGGCAGGCTTCTGAGTGGTCTGCAGTACATGACCTCCAAGCTTCACATAGAGGTATTCCATTCTTGGACTATTTTACTGTAATCTCTATTCACCTTCACAGCCGTTAGCAACAACGTTAGTCTGATAAGACTCATAACAAATTATATTCTATCAAACCAAATTTAGGTTTCTGGCCTTCTTTTTGTCTTTGATGCCGAGGTTGGGAGACAACACTCACCCGTCTTTGCATCGGGCACATTCATCTTGCTCATGGGTATCTCATGTAGAGGCACCCTGTTCTACTCTGTGAGAATTGTCTAGTTCCAATTTCATAGTTCCATATTCTGTTGGACTGTCCTATCTATCAATGAGCATGCAGAATTTTCCTCTAACATTGTCACCATTCTAACACCCTTACTTTTTCTTTCCTCCTTGTTGACAGACTCACCTTTGACACAGACTCCCTCTTTGACTTTTTGACAGCAATTGATTTATTACACAAACTTTGATAAGCCTTCTTTTATCTCTCCTTGCAGTCTTTTCTCTCTCTCCTCTGTTGTCCTCACCACCCTTGCTACTCTATGATCCTGCACTATCCCCTTCCCTGCTGCGCTGTATAACCCTCATGGGTTTAGCGCTTCTTTTTGATTATAATAATAACTGTCATACAGTAATACTACAGATATTACACAGTATTACTACAGTAATTGACAAGTATGACATACCTGGTGTTATTGATAGGCTTTAAACTATTTATAATAGCAAAGTTCATGCATTATGCTTTCAAAGATTACTGTTAGTGCTGATTTTTGTAATATTAAAATGTGTGTTTATGATAAACATTTAGTGTTGGTGGCAGTGTGTAGAGCATAACAGGAGGGCCTCATTTGTACTGCTCTTAAGTTCTTGACCTTGTGCAATAAGCCAAAATTGCCAGTGGGTGGAAAAGAGCTTTTTTTTATTATCAGATGTGTCTAAAATGCCTACTGATGTGTTTACAGTAACATTTATTAAGTGTTAAATACAGCTAGACTTAAAACACGAATGAGAAAGTAAAATAAATACACAATACATACAATACTTACCATAAAATTACCATAAAATATGGTGCCAGACGCCCTTTTCTATACACAGCTGTTGTGTGAAAAAGGCAGAAAAGTGGTAAAAGCACCAAATGTATTGAACAGTGGCTCACATGAAAGCAAACAAAAATGTGGAACACCAAATAGAGGGTGCTGTGTATGTGGGGCCATCCTGAGGGTGCTGTGTATGTGGGACCCTCCTGAGGGTGCTGTGTATATGGAGCCCTCCTGAGGGGGCTGTGTATGTACTCACCTATTTGTGGTTGCAGGGGTCGAGTCACAGCTCCTGGCCCCGCCTCTTCGCTGATTGCTATGTGGGACCCTCCTGAGGGTGCTGTGTATGTGGGACCCTCCTGAGGGTGCTGTGTATGTGGGCCCTCCTGAGGGTGCTGTGTATGTTTGGCCCTCCTGAGGGTGCTGTGTATGTGGGGCCCTCCTGAGGGTGCTGTGTATGCAGGACCCTCCTGAGGGTGCTGTATATGCAGGACCCACCTGAGGGTGCTGTATATGCAGGGCCCTCCTAAGGATGCTGTATATGCAGGGCCCTCCTGTATAGTGATGACCGTGTGTGTGTGTATGGGGGAAGGGGGTGATGCCCACTGTGTTGTTCATGCTAGCAGCTTGTTATTAAATACCATGAAAAACATGCAGTTGACTACTGACTGAGCTAGTGTTGTTTAGTTATTTGTATTATAAATGTTATATCCAACGAGAAGCACCAAACCTGTAGGGGTGATGCAGTGCTGGGGAATGCTTGGTCCAAGGAAAGGGTGGGGTGGCTCCAGTTCCATGAATCAAGTTACTGTCAGCATCAATGCACCTGCTAGAAGGCTGTTGAAGTTGTTTAGACATCGCAAACAGTGTTTGCTGATTGTTTGTAATCATTTGCTTGTTCTTTCTTTCAGTGGTCTCTCTGAGACATTTGACGACATTATTGACATGATTCAACATGCTGGTTATGGTGATAGGTACAGTCTGGGTTACCCACTCTGGCACCCTTCTGCACACCTCATTGTAACACTTGATGAATGTTTTCACATCACTGAGCTTGTACAACACTAACTGTCAACTTTATAAGTGGATGCTTATATTGCACTGTTTACTGATTAAAAGTCTCACTTAATAATCTCCCAGTGGTGATCCCTTGGCACATACATGAGACCCTCAGTTAAGATGTTAGTTACATTCCTGAAAATGGCAATAATTAAAAACAAATTGTACAAAATGAACTGAAGAACATATGGGGAAAAATAAGGTTAAGTTCCTTTGAGCCCCCAGAATTTCTAATTTTCTTTTAAGTGACATAATTTAAAAAAAAATAGTTTAATAGTAGTTGGATATTATGATATATTTGTGTGTGTGTGTGTGTGTTTGTTTTCAATGAACTGGTCACATCCCACTGAGGCAAGGTGACCCAAAAAAGAGAGAGACACTTTCACCATCATTCACACATAATCTCTGTCTTTGCAGAGGCACTCAGATACAACAATTTAGATGTCATGTCAAATAGCCAACATCCCAAAACCCTCCTTTAATGTGCAGGCATTATACTTTCCATCTCTAGGACTCATGTCCGGCTAACTGGTTTTCCTGAAGGCCTTCACAAAATATTACTCTGCTCACACTCCAACAGCTCATCAGGTCCCGAGAGCCCTTCATCTCCTTTTACCCCCAGCTAACATGCTCACACTTGCCTGCTGCATGTCCAAGCCCCTTTCACACAAAACCTCTTTTAACCCCTCCCTCCATCCTTTCCTAGGATGACTCATACCCCTCCTCTTCTCTCCTCCACTACAGATTTATATACCCTCCAAGTCATCCTATTTTGCTCCACCTTCACTAAATGAGGAAACCACCTCAACAACCCTTCTTCTACCCTCTGAATAATACTTTTAGTAACTCCACACCACCACCTAATTTCCACACTAAGAATTCTCTGCATAATATCTACACCACACATTGCCCTTAGACACGACATCACACTGCCTCCAGATTCCTCCTTGCTGCAGCATTTACAACCCATGCTTAACACTCATATTAAAGTGTTGGTATCATTATACTCTCGTACATTTCCTTCTTTGCCTCCATGGATAACAGTTTTTGTCTCCACAGACACCTCAACTCAATGTACTACTCACCTTTTTTCCTTCATCAATTCTATGGTTAACCTCGTCCTTCATAAACCCATCCACTGACAAGTCTACACATATATATAAATGTATATGTGTGTGGGCTAGAATAAAGTGATGCTTAAGCCAGTCAACAAATAATTCTTCTGTTATCCATATTGACTGATTTGACCTCAGAATAACAGGTAAGGTGGTTTTATCTGAACTTTTCAAAGCATGGGGTGTCTTGGCGCAGTAAACAGGCTTGAGCTTACACTTAAAATCACTTGACACTACCACAAAGTAACAGATTGAAGCAATTCTTTGTTGCTGTGAGTTCCACAGTGCTTTTCTCTTGCTTGCTGGCATCTTCTTGCAGTAAAGACTTGTTTTGTCAGCATTTTTATTTGCTATGGCTCATAGAAAACCCTCAAAAATGGCTTCCTGTAATACAGCAGGGAAATTCCCTGCAGCAGTGTAGTAAGCTGAAGCACTTTCACAAGAAAACTTAATATTATGCAACCAATTTCTCAGTTTGAGCTTGTGAAAGCAGCCTGTACTAAACAAACATGATTATTCAAGCCTTCCTTCCCCATCACATTTTTTTTAATAGTACTCTAAGGCTTTCTTTCATATTAAGATGAAGTTATTTGGTGCACCTTTCTTGATTTTCTGCTCAGTCCACTCACTCAGTAACTTTTTACTTTTATTTAGCTGTTCTGACCTTTTGTTATTCTTTTCAGGTTATAACCTGGGTTACTCATTGCACAAGCTCATATCTTTACCTCATTTTTCTCAATTGTATGAATTTATGCCTCATTCAAGCTATAGGCTCGTGCTGTCTCCATCACCTGTGTGCCACTCTTAAGCTTATCTAGTATCATGATTTTCTTCAAGATATCAGTACTTTCACACTTATGCTTCTTTGCACTTCCAAGATCACTCACATTCCTCTTGGGTGCTATGGTTATTATTTGGAGATGAGATATGGTGACGAAAAAATAAAAAATCAATTCATTAACACAGCCTGAGCATGGTATTGAATGCATATAGACAGGAAGCTGAGGTGAGAGAGGTTGTATACATTAAGTAGGCCTTCCACGTAAGAGAGTGGCCTCGCCTGTAGGTGGGACTCGAGATAGAAGGAATGAATCTGCAGTTCGTCAAGTTTCCCCTACATTTTGGTTTAAAACAGTGTCTTTGCAGTGTATTTTCATGTGGTTTTTATGGTTATATTCTTGGTCTCATTTGATAGAATGGAAGATATACTACAGAAATAGAGATGGTTTGATTGGCTTCAGGACTGAAAGTAGCTTGAAATTGGCTCAAAGTAGTGGAAATATTAAATTTTGCTAATGATCCATAATATACAAATGATGTCACTCATCTAAGATGTGTCCATCTGTCCAGTCTAATAATGCACTTTTACGAATGCACTGACATTATTTATACAATTAACAATATTGCACTAGTCTGTTTAACAGTATTTTTTATTCATGTGTAATATTGGATAGGTCTGGGGACATAACTTATGAACAGAGGAAATATTATTTTAGTGCTAAGAATGTCTTCATTGTTTATTTTGGACCCTATTTTGAAACTGACATTTCTTGAATTTTGTTTGAAATTGGCCAAAATACCAGTTTCTGATGACATTATTGGGTAGTTGAAATAGATGAATGGGTAATTTCTTGTACTCAGTCAATAGAATGGAAGGCATACTAGTGAAATAGTTAAGAATCTGGGCACCTGGAATAATGTAATTGGCCTAAAATAGGACTCAGAGTGGGCCAAATCGCCAATGCCTAAATATCGCTGACACAGCAGAATTCACAAAAATGTAATTTTATTATTTTCTATCAAATTTGGTACTTTTTGTTTTATTACCTTCAGAAAAAGATTCTCTACTATTTCATAATAAAAAATAAAAAAAATTTACTTTTATATTTTCTGACCCTGAGAGCAAGTTTGAGAACAAGGGATCTGACCCTCAGAGGGCTAATGAACTAATGTATTTAACTGTATACAATACTTATAGCTAAAAGAAGTTACATAACTTATTTTTTCTTATTTTAAATTCTGGCTGATGGTTTATGTTGATATTGAAGGGAGTGCAGAGGATGGTGTGGCCCTACTGGGCTGAGGTTGTAGATCATTGGTTGAGGTGGATGGTTAAGGTTGTTGCATTGCTGTTGATGCAGAGTTGTCATTAGTTGATGGTTATAAGAACATAAGAACATAAGAAAGGAGGAACACTGCAGGAGGCCTGCTGGCCCATACTAGGCAGGTCCTTTACAATTCATCCCACTAACAAAACATTTACCCAACCCAATTTTCAATGCTACCCAAGAAATAAGCTCTGATGTGAAAGTCCCACTCAAATCCAACCCTTCCCACTCATGTACTTATCCAACCTAGATTTGAAACAACCCAAAGTCCTAGCCTCAATAACCCAACTAGGTAGACTTTTCCCACTCATCAACTACCCTATTTCCAAACCAATATTTCCTAGTCCTTTCTAAATCTAAACTTATCTAATTTAAATCCATTACTGCGGGTTCTCTCTTGGAGAGACATCCTCAAGACCTTATTAATATCCCCTTTATTAATACCTATCTTCCACTTATACACTTCGATCAGGTCTCCCCTCATTCTTCGTCTAACAAGTGAATGTAACTTAAGAGTCTTCAATTTCTTTCTTCATAAGGAAGATTTCTGATGCTATGTATTAATTTAGTCATCCTACGCTGAATGTTTTTCTAACGAATTTATGTCCATTTTGTAATACGGAGACCAGAACTGAGCTGCATAATCAAGGTGAGGCCTTACTAATGATGTATAAAGCTGCAGTATGACCTCTGGACTTCTGTTGCTTACACTTCTTGATATAAATCCCAGTAATCTATTTGCCTTATTACGTACGCTTAGGCATTGCTGTCTTGGTTTAAGGTTGCTGCTCACCATAACCCCCAAGTCCTTTTCGCAATCTGTATGGCTAAGTTCTACATCATTTAATTTATAAGTACTAGGGTTATGGGCACTCCCAAGCTTCAGAACCTTGCACTTATCTACATTGAACTGCATCTGCCACTTTTCTGACCAAGAATAGAGTTTGTTTAAATCCTCCTGAAGTTCCCTAACATCTACGTTTGAATCAATTATCCTACCTATCTTTGTGTCATCGGCGAATTTGCTCATATCACTAGTAATTCCCTCATCAAGATCATTGATATATATTATAAACAACAACGGGCCCAAGACTGATCCCTGTGGAACGCCACTTGTTACAGATCCCCACTCGGATTTAACCCCATTTATGGACACTCTCTGCTTCCTGTCAGTGAGCCATGACTCGATCCACGAGAGCACTTTTCCCCCAATGCCATGGGCTGCCACTTTCTTTAACAGTCTATGGTGCGGAACTCTATCAAAAGCCTTACTAAAATCTAAGTAAATAATATCAAATTCTTTATTGTGGTCAACAGCCTCAAAAGCTTTACTGAAGAAAGTTAATAAATTAGTTAGACAAGACCGGCCCCTTGTGAATCCATGCTGAGTATCATTAATCAAGCTATGCTTATCGAGATGGCTTCTTATAATCTCAGCTATAATTGACTCTAGTAATTTGCCTACAATTGAGGTCAGGCTTATTGGGCGGTAATTTGACGGTAACGACTTGTCCCCTGTTTTAAAAATAGGAGTTACATTAGCCATCTTCCACATATCAGACACTAAAACCTGTTTGAAGAGATAAATTTAAAAAAATATTAGTTAAGGGTTTCACAGAGTTCCATTTTGCATTCCTTAAGAACCCTTGAAAAAACCTCATCAGGACCCGGCGACTTATTTTCTTCAGTCTG